TCCTGCCCTGGCAGAACCCCTTGCCTCTGCTGCTGGTTGATGGCGGTGGCCTGCCCTCCCTGCCCCCACGCCATGGCCTGCGCACTGGCGTGAAGGAGAGCTCCAAGTCAGGAAGACCTCATCTCCTGAGTCTTCAGCCAGGAGACAGGAGTGCCCTCTCCCAACAAGGGCCTCCGGCTGAAAGCTGCTGCCTCCGCTCCCTTCCTCTCCTCTCCACCAGTCAACAACACCTGCAGGGCTTGCCCCTTTGCCTCACTCAAACCCCACCCAACTGTCTCCGCCCCCGGCACCCACCCTGCCAGTTCTTTCCCTGTTCACCAACCTCCCAATGTCACTACAGGGTGCTGCCCTGGGTGGGAGCAGAGGGCTGGCTAGCTGGTGGCACACTGACCACTCCTGAGCTGTGATTGTGTGACCACAGATACTGCCACCTGGATGCCAGAAGGGCAGGTGGCTCAGAGCAGAGAGGACTGTGGGCCCCCTCAGCCTGGGTAGCCCTGGAAGATGCTCAGGACACCTCACCGGACTGGCCAGAGCAGAACTGCCCTGTGGACTTCTAAGGCAAAGTTTCTCCAGCCCTCTGCTGAGTGACCCAGTACTGGCCCTCTTGGACTGCCATCCAGGCACCCATATAGACCTTGGGGGGTGTGGAGGCAGGCCTGGATGGGGCGGGGGACACTTGGTTAACTCAGCCTCTCCAGTTTTCATTTGATCTGCATGGTCCTTTGAGGTGGGGGTCCGTCTCCACCTCTTCCAGGAGCTCCAAGATGGGGACAGAGCAGACCTGCCCCATCTTTGAGGTTGTCAATCTTCACTGAGCAGCTTCCAACCTTTGACCTTTCTCATGGCAGCCCAGTGCTTAGCCACCAGGCCACCTGGGCTCTGCAACAGCCTGTCTCTACTTCAGAAGTGGGGCCAGCCCACGCCCCCTTTCCCAGGTGGCGGGCAGAGGGTGTCCCCATCAGCAGAGCAAAACGCAAGGCGATGTAATGGCTTCCGCGGAGATTGGCAGCGGCCCCGGACCAGGGCAAGCCTGGCCCTGCAGGCTCCCAGGCAGGACCCTCGCTGGGCGCTGGGCGCTGGCGCAGATTGCTTCCGCTCCGTCCCGGAGTGGCAGGTGGGTTTGAACCGCCGTGTCTGTTAGCTGCTGGGCGCTCCAGCACTGAGCTACCAGGACCC